CAATACATGAATGATTCTACAACTTATAAATATACATATATTTGGTGGAAGTTTACATATTATATAAATGTCCATGATGATTATACGTCAGTGAGCATTATTAGAATTATATCAAGTTGTGTAATACTGTGGAAGTGAATTACGTATACGGATCTCTCTCTCTCTCTCTCTCTCTCTCTCTCTCTCTCTCTCTCTCTCTCTCTCTCTCTCTCTCTCTCTCTCTCTCTCTCTCTCTCTCTCTCTCTCTCTCTCTCTCTCTCTCTCTCTCTCTCTCCATTGTAAACTCCACCCCATTCGAATAATTCAGCGGCTCCTTCCCTCCTTCCCTACCACCCACCTTCTCTCTCCTTGCAATCCCTCTCACTCCCATACCTTTCCCTCATTCCACTTCTTCCCTTCCTCTTTCATCCCTCCTTCAATCCATTCACCCCCTCTTTCCCTTGCTTATTCCTCCCACCCCCTCGTTTTCCCTCACCATCCTACACCCATATCTCCCTCCCTCCTTCCCTTCCTCACCATCACTCACTCCTGCTCCTTTTCTTACTCCCTCATCCTCACATCCTTTCCCTTCCTCCCTCCCTCTACCCTCCTTACTTTCCCCATGCCCCCTCCCCACCCTCCCCCTACATTCCGTCTATCCACCTAACCTCCTCCTCCCCATCCTTCATCATGCCTTAACAGTACAGCTGCAGACACACACACACACACACACACACACACACACACACACACACACACACACACACACGACACTTTCCTTTATTAACACCAATTCTTACTTGAGTGTTTCACCCTCCGCCGTGTTGCCAGATCAGAAGAACGGCTACATTACCTCCTCTCAGAATGATTATGTGGTCCCGGAATTGGGTGTGTGTGTGTGTGTGTGTGTGTGTGTGTGTGTTGTGTGTGTGTGTGTGTGTGTGTGTGTGTCAGGATAACGGTTAGCCAGTGCAGTTGGCGAATTGTCCGGTCGTCTTAGATTATTGCTTGTCACTGGGTTCCACATGTAAATCTGTATATTGTAAAACCTGGCGATTTTATACGGGCGGGCAGACACCATCGCCCTAAAGCATAGACATAGGTAAATTTGCATCATGACACTAAAATAGGACGTGTAATTAAATCTGACGAGGACTCCGTAAAACTACAGGAAGATCTAAATCAATTTTTCGAATGGTCTGAAAATTGGCAGATGAAATTCAACGTGGACAAATGTAAGGTACTCAGTATAGGAGATGTAAACAGGGAAACCAGATACCAGACTGCGAGAGAGATTTCGGAGTAATGATAAGTAGGAACCTTAAGCCAAGTAAACAATGTGTATTTGCTCGTAACAAGGCTAATAAAGTACTTGGGTTCATACAAAGGAGTGTTAGTTACAAGACAAGTGAGGTCATCCTAAAGCTATATCTTGCGCTTGTGAGACCTCACTTGGATTACGCAGTTCAATTCTGGTCACCATATTACAGAATATATATATACTGTAGAATCCTTGGAAAGAATTCAGAGGAAAATGACAAGACTAATCCCGGGCATTAGGAAACTTGAGTATAGAGACAGGTTAAAGCATCTTAATTTGCACTCCCTCGAGAGACGTAGAGTGAGGGGCGACATGATCGAGGTGTATAAATGGACGTCAGGGCTAAACAAAGGGGACATAACAAAGGTACTCAAACTATCCTACCAGGAGCGAACTCGTAACAATGGTTTTAAATTTGACAAATTTAGATTTAGGCGCGAAATTGGTAAACATTGGTTTGGAAATAGAGTAGTGGACGACTGGAACAAGTTACCAAACATCATCATTAACTCGAATACGCTGGATAGCTTCAAACTTAGGTTGGATGGATATATGAGCAATAGGGGCTGGGTGTAAATGGGACTGCCCAGTATGGGCCAATAGACCCGCTGCAGTTTCCTCCATTCTTATGTTCTTATTGATGACATATCTTTGTGTGTTGTATTTCCTTCTGACTTATCTTGTGAGAGATACTTGCTGTGACTTACATTTAATTTAAATTAATCCCGTGTGTCGTGTTTTAATCCAACCTCCCTTGTTTGTGAACCATTGTAACTTTAAGTGAGTGGGGAGGATCCAGAAAAGTTGTAAAATTACCATACCCTATTAACTTACCCCTTGTCTATTGTTGTAACCTAATATGTGGAGATGTGATTAGGCCCAGAAACAGTGAAAGTTCTCTTTGTACAAGAAGTGCTTAACAGAAATGCTTTTTTTTTCGACATTTACCCTTAACTGTCTCTCGAGTTTGGTGTCACTTTGTCGACCGGGCATACCCCAGTCCAAAGACAATAGGCCTAATTATTTGGCAGTTAAGTTGGAGCTAACGGGTAAGCTTTAAAAAAGACTTCCATAAAAACGGAGAGACAGATATACAGACAAATAGACAGACGAACAATCAGAGAGACGAAAAGACAGACAGATAATTAGACATCCTGAGTGAGGAACAGAGAAGAGCCGACCCTCACCACCTCAGTCACTCCCCTGCCATAACACAGCGTCAGCACCAGCACTCAGCACCTCGGGACGATCCCACTACACCCTCCAATGACACTCTTGTGGGAGCTGCTGCAACAGTGAAAGAACTGTCTCTCTCTACCTGTCTAATGCCTGCACTGGCGAACATGTTTCACTGTGCGTAATAAATCCTTAGGCTGAGTAGATATCTGAGTTCTCAATAAATTTCCGCCACCAATATATATGAGCGTATCTCCACAACCTGCTGCCTATATCACTGTTATACACTCATATATTTTCCTCAGAGGGGAACTTGATATTGAAAATTCATCCAGATTCCGTAGTGTTTTACCTCACAATATGGACAGTTAATCTAAAACTCGTTTAATGTTGATTAATAGCAAGTTATTACGAGGTTAATTACTGTTATGAAAAGGTTAATTACAGGTGAGATATTGCTCGCTGGGTGAACTTAATCGTAAATAACAAGGATGACCTGTAGTTAGTGATAGGTTGGGTTAGTCTGGTGGGCCGGGAGTGCAGGATGGACCCATGGTGAGAGAGGGCCGGAGGTGCAGGGATGAACCCATGGTGAGAGAGGGCCGGGGGTGCAGGATGGACCCATGGTGAGAGAGGGCCGGGGGTGCAGGGATGAACCCATGTGAGAGAGGGGCCGCAGGTGAGGGATGAACCCATGGTGAGAGAGGCCGGGGGTGCAGGGATGAACCCATGGTGAGAGGCCAGGGTGCAGGGATGAACCCATAATGAGAAGAGGCCAGGGGTGCAGGGATGAACCCATGGTGAGAGGGGCCGGGGGTGCAGGGGTGAACCCATGGTGAGAGAGGGCCGGGGGTGCAGGGATGAACCCATGGTGAGAGAGGGCCGGGGGTGCAGGGATGAACCCATGGTGAGAGAGGGCCGGGGGTGCAGGATGAACCCATGGTGAAAGCAGGCCTGGAGCGCTGGAGAAGAATCTCGTCAGTGAAAAAAAAAGAAGCTTTGTTTTCATTCATTGTTATAATAATAATCTATACTCATACCGTAAACAATTATACACCATTTAATTATATTTTATGACGTTACAAAACATCCCAGTAAATAAGGAATGTTTAATTTTGCTCATTGACAAAAGTTTATGAGGATATTCAACAAAATTTATTCGTCTCGCTGATGGTAGATTAAAAAGTAATATGTATTAATAAATAAATACTTTTATAATAGAATAATACAGACATACATAGCAATACTTCCCGCTTTGTATTTATACCGAGGAATATTATAAAATGACGTGTGTGTGTGTGTGTGTGTGTGTGTGTGTGTGTGTGTGTGTGTGTGTGTGTGTGTGTGTGTGTGTGTGTGTGCTCAAGCATTGGGAGATATTCATATTAAACCTACATAGAGAGACATTAACTTTTCCCGGTTTAAATGAGATAGTTTTCTCTCTTCTAAATTGGTAGTAACATTCGAATGGGGTGATTACCGTTAGCTGAGTGATATCTGTTAACGGTAGTGTAATAGGGTGTCCTGTTAACGGTAGTGTTATAGATTATCCTGTTAACTGTAGTGTTATAGGGAGATAACCTGTTAATGGTAATATAACAGCATGGTAACTTTCTGTTAACAGCATTATAAAGCAGGACGGCAACCTTCTGTTAACGGTAATATAACAGGACAATAACCATTAACCTTGTGTCTGTTAACGGTAATATAACAGGACAATAACCATCAACTTTCGTGTCTGTTAACGGTAATATGGTCAACAGGGAAATTATACAACACCTGAAACATCCTGATGGACGTCAAATTAAGAGGTCAAAGAAAAGATTAACACCGGGAGAGGTCAAGGTCAACTAGAAGGGGTCGAAAGTCAGCGGAAGGGTCGGAGGTCAGAGGAAGGGGTTGGAGGTCAGCGGGAGGGTCGAAGGTCAGAGGAAGGGGTCTGAGGTCAGAGGGAAGGGGTTGGAGGTCAGAGGGTCGAAGGTCAGAGGAAGGGGTCTGAGGTCAGAGGAAGGGGTCAGAGGAAGGAGGGTTGGAGGTCAGAGGAAAGGGTTGGAGGTCGTGAAAGGGATCGGAGGTCAGAGGAAGGGGTCGGAGGTCAGAGAAAGGGGCCAGAGGAAGGGGTCAGAGGTCAGAGGAAGGGGTCAGAGGTCAGCGAGAGGGGTCGGAGAACAGAGGAAGGGATCTGAGGTCAGAGAAGGGGATCGGAGGTCAGAAGAAGGGGTCGGAGGTCAGAGGAGGGGATCGGAGATCAGCGGAAGGGGTCGGAGGTCAAAGAAAGGGGTCGGAGGTCAGAGGAAGGGGTTGGAGGTCAGAGGAAGGGGTCGGAGGTCAGAAGAAGGAGTCAGAGGTCAGATTATGGGGTCGGAGGTCAGAGGAAGGGTCGAGGAAGACGTCAGCAGAATCACTCCCCTCCTCCCCCCTCACACAAGAGCGGCCTGGAGTCTGTGCTTGAGTGGCGGGCGTCGTGGGTGCGTGCGCGGGCCCTTCACTCCACCATCACCTGGCCGTCACTGCGGGGTTTTCTTTCCACCAGCCAGTGTGCCTTGCGCCGGCGGTACGTGCGGACGTGTCGGGCGAGGCTTGTAGCACGCCTTAGGCTCCCTTCCTCTTGCTGGTGCTGGTGAGGCCCTAGTGGTGGCACGCGTCAAGAAAAACCAGTCGTCACGCGAAGTAGTGTGTTCCATACGCGAGGACACGACCTGTCATGCCGCAGGAAGTCTTCTGGGTGAACAGTGATACTGTGTAACACTTAAAACAATATATCTGGAGAGAAACAAAGTTAGGAGACGGACCCAGAGTAGGAGAAGGAGGAGGGGTATACCAGCAACTCTCCTGGCGAAGGTGTTCTGCTGAAGGAGATTGTAGTGTCAGTGGTGCTTCGAGCAACACTTGACGTCATACAAGAGAGAAAACAAAGTTAGAGCGAGTCGAAGCAGGAGGAGGAGCTGTGTTACTCACCCGACGAAGGTGTCAGGTGTCCCAGGTGACAGAGTTATAGAACAGTAAAGGTGTGAAGACTCGATACAATTTCCTCTTAGAAAGAATCAAGGTGTAAAAAGAGACATTATGTATGAGATGACAAGTGCTTTACTCACCTGACGCGAGGCGCTCAGCTCTTAACAAGTGCGAGAGGGTCTCATCCCCACTCATGCTCCCTCAATTGTGCTTTGTGAGACTTGAAGTAACACCTCAGATATATTTAACCAGGAAGACGCTTACAGCAGGAGTACAGGAGCTCTCTCCATACACTTAATAAAACACTCCTTACACAGATCGTTTGGGAGGCGAGAAAACATAACATAACGCTGTACAGTATTTAAGAAGAATAAAAGAAAAAAATTAAGACAACAGTGCAAGACTAATTAATCACCGCGGATAAAAAGTGTAAATACATTTTTTTCATAGAATGATATTATCGTTGTAACATTTATTTAAGAGTTTTAAAGCGGAAAGAGTCAACGTTGGTGTGATCAAATAACGTTTTTCAATAATATGTTGACATTAATGTTTATTCTATGTACGTACCGCTTCCTGCTGCTGCTGCTGCTGCTGCTGCTGCTACTACTGCCGCTGCTACTGCTGCTACTGCCGCTGCTACTCACCATCATTTCCAGTTGGACCTTAAACAGTGGGTCGAGGACGAGGTTTTATTGCCTGGATCATGACAACAAGAGAGGCAGAGACAGGAAAAGCATGATAATTTTCAGTACTAAATGAACTTTGAAGTTATTTACAATTTTTATGGTTGGCTTGCAGGTGTCGCCATAAAGTTCGTACAGGTTAATTAAGAAAACAAATTACCTGCTAATTATATTACGTGTATTGTACAGATTATTGTGCTCTGTCGAAGAAAATAGTTGTTATTGAATATATATTTTGTATCATTATTTTTATCATATTCATATCAAAATTTAGTGTTGCATTTTTATATTTAAATATTTTTTTATGAATGTGTGTGTGTGTGTGTGTGTGTGTGTGTGTGTGTGTGTGTGTGTGTGTGTGTGTGTGTGTGTGTGTGTGTTATCAAACCCCATCCATTACAGATAAAATACCCAAACAGAATAAAAACAGTAAAACACACACACACAACCTACACACACACACACAAAGAAAATCATTCCTCTTATTCTTCTTCCTCACCTCCTCCTCTCCTCCTCCTCCTCCTCCTCCTCCTCCTCCTCCTCCTCCTCCTCTCGAAAAGGATAAAACTTACACAACATGTTCGCTATCACCTCATCCTCCTCCACCCATCACCTCGTCCTCCACCATCACCCCTCGTCGTCCACCATCCCCTCATCCTCCTCCACCATCACCTCGTCCTCCACCATCACCTCGTCGTCCACCATCCCTCGTCCTCCCACCATCACCTCGTCCTCCACCATCACCTCGTCCTCCCACCACAACCTCGTCCTCCACCATCACCTCGTCCACCTCGTCCTCCCCCTGTCACCTCGTCCTCCACCATCACCTCGTCGTCCACCATCCCTCATCCTCCTCCACCATCACCTGTCCTCCACCATCACCTCATCCTCCACCATCCCTCATCCTCCTCCACCATCACCTCGTCCTCCACACCACCACCTCGTCCACCACCATCACCTCATCCTCCACCATCACTCATCCTCCTCCACCATCACCTCGTCCTCCCACCATCATCTCGTCGTCCACCATCACCTCATCCTCCTCCCACCATCACCTCATCCTCCACCATCACCTCGTCCTCCACCATCACTCGTCCTCCACCACAACCTCGTCCTCCCACCATCACCTCGTCCTCCACCATCATCTCGTCCTCCACCATCACCTCGTCCTCCACCATCATCGTCGTCCACCATCACCTCATCCTCCTCACCATCCTCGTCCTCCACCATCACCTCCCTCCCACCATCACCTCGTCCTCCACCATCACCTTGTCGTCCACCATCACCTCGTCCTCCACCATCACCTCATCCTCCACCATCCACCTCGTCCTCCACCATCACCTCGTCGTCCACCATCACCTCGTCCTCCACCATCATCCTCCACCATCACCTCGTCCTCCCACCACCACCTCGTCCTCCACCATCACCTCGTCCTCCACCATCACCTACTCACCGAATTAGACATGCTCTCCCTCACACCTCCCTCATAACTTCCCTATACTATCTCAATCGAAACCCTATCCAGCTGACCGTCCCTCACCTGCCTCATTCCCTTCACTCCCTTGCCCCTTCACCATCCTCCCACACACCCTCCCTCACGCCTCCCTTACACCTCTGTCACATCTCATAACAAACCCTTCCCAACAGACAGTCTCTGGCACCTTCCCTCCCCCTCCCTCCCCTCCCTCCCTCACCCCTCACTACTCCTCACCCCTCCACTACTCCCTCACCTCACATCTTTTCTTCACCCCTCCCTCACCCCTCACTCCCTCCCTCATTCTTCCTCCTCCCCTCCTCTTCACTCCTTCCCTCCTCTTCACCCCTCCCTCTTGCTTCATCTTCCTTCACCCCTCCCTCACCCCTCCCCCTCCCCTCCTCCCCTTCACCCCTCCCCTCACCCCCCTCCCTCACCCTTCACGTCTTCTTCACCCCTCCCTCACCCCCTCACCTCCCCTCCACTCCCCCCTCCCACCCCTCCCCTCACCTTTCCCTCCACCCTTCATCTTCCTCACCCCTCCCTCTCCCTTCACATCTTCCCCTCACCCCTCCCTCACCCCTCCCTCAATCCCCCTCACCCCTCCCTCCCCTCACCCCTCCCCTCACCCTCCCTCCTCCCCCTCCCCTCCCCTCACCCCTCCCCTCACCTTTCATCTTCCTACCCCTCCCTCCTCCCCCTCACCCCTCCCCTCCCCCTCACCCCTCCCTCACCCCTCCCCTCCCCTCCCCTCACCCCCTCACCCCTCCTCCCCTCACCCCTCACCCCTCCCCTCACCCCTCACACCCTCCCTCACCCCTCCCTCCTCCCCTCCACCCCTCCCCTCAACTCCCTCACCCACCCTCTGCCAAAATGAAGATATTTCCTCTCCACTGTACGAGCATCAGCCGCGTTAAAACTCGTAAACTGAGGCACAAATGATCTGGGAAAAGGACCACTTAGCAATTTTGTGTCTCATTGCATTTTCTTGGTACATTTTAGGCGGTGGTGGCTAGAGAGAGAGTGAATTACCTGGCCAAAATGACAGGTGAGGTGGTAGTGTTATGTGTGTGTGTGTGTGTGTGTGTGTGTGTGTGTCTGTGTGTGTGTGTGTGTGTGTTGTCATAAGGAGGAACAATACACGGGGGTGAGGTTTTGATGGGGTACATCTTTTATAACAATCCTAACCTAACCTAACCTATCCTATCCTATCCTAACCTATCCTAACCTATCCTAGCCTATCCTAACCTATCCTAGCCTATCCTAACCTAACCTAACCTATCTTAAGCTAAAATTTTATACAGTTTAAGCTAGATTTTATTACTTGAATTTATGATATGTAATTATGTGTACGTGTATGTGAATTGCATGCACCTAAAATTGTGCGTGATAATGTGCGTACATGTACCAGAGGTGTAATTTACTGTAAGTAAAATTGTGTATACATGTACGTGAACTTTAAAGTAAGTTTAATTTATTATGTACTGTACATGTATGTGAGGTGTAAGGTGTACGTAGACCTGTGTACATGTGCAGTGCGTATATTTGAGGTGTTGTGTACGTAATAAAGCGTACATGGCGTGTCTATATCTTAGTAAATGTTTGTTTTTATGACTTGCAGTGTTTGTCGACAATATGGAATGTTTGATTTAACCCCCTTGGTGTTTGTGTTACAACGAGGCCTTGATTAAAGCGTATGGTGTTTGTTTAACAAAATATGGTGTTTGTTTAACAAAATATGGTGTTTGTTTTACAGCATATGGTGTTTGTTTTACAATATATGGTGTTTGTTTTACAACATATGGTGTTTGTTTTACAGCATATGGTGTTTGTTTTACAACATAGTATTTGTTTTACAACATATAGTGTTTGTTTTACAACATATGGTGTTTGTTTTACAACATATGGTGTTTATTTTACAACATGTGGTGTTTGTTTTACAACATATGGTGTTTGTTTTACAACATATGGTATTTGTTTTACAACAAATGGTGTTTGTTTTACAACATATGGTGTTTGTTTTACAACATATGGTGTTTGTTTTACAACATATGGTGTTTGTTTTACAACATATGGTGTTTGTTTTACAACATATGGTATTTGTTTTACAACATATGGTGTTAGAATTTCAATACTTATACTCTGTGTTACGAACCACGCCATCAATTGTCATGATCTACCTACCCAGCACTACGAACCACGCCATCTATTGTCATGATCTACCTACCCAGCACTACGAACCACGCCATCTATTGTCATGATCTACCTACCCAGCACCACGAACCACGCCATCAATTGTCATGATCTACCTACCTAGCACTACGAACCACGCCATCAATTGTCATGATCTACCTACCCAGCACCACGAACCACGCCATCAATTGTCATGATCTACCTACCCAGCTACTCAATTGTCATGATCTACCTGCACACGCCACGCCATCAATTGTCATGATCTACCTACCCAGCACCTACCTACCTACCCAGCACATCAATTGTCATGATCTACCTACCCAGCAATACGAACCACGCCATCTAGGGACGAAACCCGAGTATGACTGGTCTTGGTTACCACTCCGGGGTTTCCCTTCTCCATATCCTGGTTGTTGCGTCACCTCCTCCAAGTCTTCCTCATCAGCTCCAGTTCGATGAGAGTTCAGTTCACTCTGGGAAGTGACCACAGGATCACCTATCCTGGAAACCTACGGCACAGTGACTACCTACCATCTTCTACAATACTCAGCCTTACTCGTCAGCCATCTCAGCTCTGCACTTAAGTATTTGTAATCTTATATTGCCTCCCCACCTCCACCTTGCTTCAAATTATTGTATGTTGTATAAATATGTATATACTGTTAAGCCAATGTTGCGTATGTTTAGGTTAAGTATGGTTAAGGGTAATTTATAAGAAGCTGAATATTTTATTAAGGAATTTATGGTACTTTATTATATACAACAAAAACTCTCATCCTTTGTCTACCCTTTTATAGTCCGATTGTCTTTGTTTTTTTATTTTTGTTGCCTGTTGGGGTCTGGGTAGACTTTTAACTATATTCTAAATCCCCAACTCGTAACATCTGTTATTTGTGTTAAAACATAGGACGTACAACACACAGTACAGTAGAGTACAGTACAATACAGTACACAGCACAGTACAGTACAGCACAGTTCAGTACAGCACAGCACAGTACAGCTCAGTACAGTACAGAACACCACAGTACAGTACAATACAGTACAGTACAGCACAGTACAGTACACCACAGCGCAGTAAAGTACAGTACAGCACAGTACAGTACAGTACAGTGCAGTACAGTACAGCACAGTACAGTACAATACAGTACAGTATAGCACAGTACAGTACACCACAGCGCAGTAAAGTACAGTACAGTACAGCACAGTACAGTACAGTACAGCACAGTACAGTACAGTACTGCACAGTACAGTACACTACAGTACAGTACAGTACAATACAGCACAGTACAGTACAGTACAGTATAATACAGTACAGTACACGGCACCAGTACAGTACAGTACAGTACAGTACAGTGCACTACAACCAGTGCAGTACAGTAGCACAGTACAGTACAGTACTGTATGGTACAGTACAGTATACAGTACACAACCAGTACAGTACAGTACTGCACAGTACAGTACACTACAGTACAGTACAGTACAATACAGCACAGTACAGTACAGTACAGTATAATACAGTACAGTACAGCACAGTACATCACAGCGCAGTACAGTACAGTGCAGTACACTACAATACAGTACAGTGCAGTACAGTACAGCACAGTACAGTACAGTACACTACAGTATGGTACAGTACAGTACAGCACAGTACAGTACACCACAGCGCAGTAAAGTACCGTACAGCACAGTACAGCACAGTACAGTACAGTACAGTACAGTACACTACAGTACAGTACAGTACACCACAGCGCAGTAAAGTACAGTACCGTACAGTACAGTACAGTACACTACAGTACAGTACAGTACAGTACAGTACAGTACAACTGGTACAGCACAGCACAGTACAGTACAGTACAGTACAGTACAGTACACTACAGTACAGTACCGTACAGCACAGTACAGTACAGTACAGTACAGTACACTACAGTACAGTACAGTACACCACAGCGCAGTAAAGTACAGTACCGTACAGTACAGTACAGTACAGCACAGCTCAGTACAGTACAGCACAGTACAGTACAGCACAGTACAGTACACTGCAGCTCAGTACAGTACAGTCTGTTCTTCAGTAACTCTTGTAAGTGTGGTGTATATTATATAAATTATGTTTATAAGTATGATGAGTAAAACAAATGTCTAGATGTTTATAAAGGACAAATGTGTATTAATAGGTCCAGTGATGTTATATGTGATTAATTTATATAATTTGCTTAAGATGTTTATAATTAGGCTGGTTATATAAATCTATGGAGTAATGATGTGTATTTGGAATTAAGGTAATCTTTATTAATTCATAATTTTTATTAGTACCTGAAAGAATGTATAATGACTCTCGATATTTATAGTCACGTAACTCGATGTTTTATCAGCAAGTTATATGAGGAACCAAACATTTGGGATCACTTAAACAACAAACACCCCAGTTTATATCACTTGTTAAACACACTGACGCTACTTGGGGTGTTAGGTTAGGTTTGGTTAGGGTAGGTTATTTTCAGCTAAATCTTCCTCCCGAAAGTTGGGAATGCTGTACAGATGCCGTAGGTACTTCACTCATGAGTAGTTGCTCCAAGTATATAAGGGATTCATTCATCTTAACTTTGAGGACTGGTCTCATATCTGGGGTGGCTCTTCTTCTGTCCAACTGTTAGATAGGGTGGAATCAAAGGCATTTCGTCTTATTAACTCTTCTCCTTTAGTTGATAATATTTCTTCTCTTTTTCTCCGCCGCAATGTTGTTTCACTCTCTCTCTTTTACAGGTACTTTAACAGGCAATGTTCGGTGGATGTGGCATCCTGTGTACCGCCGGCAAGGCCATGGGCTCGTAACACACGTCTTGCCCGCGGTGCCCACCGTTTCTCTGTGGATGTCGGTCACACTAGAATAACCCGTTATAGTACCTCCTTCTTTCCTCACACAGCCAAACTGTGGAATGATCTGCCTTCTTCTGTGTTTCCATACTGATACAATCTGGCTCACTTCAAAAAGCTGGTTTTCCGGCATCTTCGAGGTGTAGATTAATATAATCTTTTTCTCTTCTATTTTTTGTATTTCTTTTACTCTTATATTCCCCCCCCCCTCCCAGTCCCCGTTGTGGGTCGATAACCTGTGCCAGGGCGGGCTATTCCCCGTAGAAAAAAAAGTTAGATTAGGGCAAGTATAGTTTAGTTAGATCATGTTATGTTAGGTTAGTTTGGGTCAGATTAAGTTAGATTAGATTAGATTAGGTTTTAGTAGGTTATGCTATGTTATGTTAGCGTTGGGGTGCTTAATAATCAGGTGAAATTAGGTGGGGTGTCTAAACTTCAGGTCACCCCACAGTTTCTCAAGAAGGGGAGGAATAATTAATGCGAGAAGGAATCAATGTTTAATATTTTGTATCATTTAATTAAGACAGTGGAATGTCATATGGAATGTTGAATGGAATGTTGAATCGTAACATTTGACTCCATTAGTGAGGAAGGCGCTGCTGTGGGTGACCTTGTTCGTATTGTAATTATTTCCGTACTGTTCAATAGGCTGGAGGGATATGGAACAGGTGAAGATGGGGCACCCTAGATTATTTCACCTGATTAAAGACTACATGTAAGGGGGTTAGGTGAGGTCAGGTGAGGTCATGTTAGGTTACGTTAAGTTAAGTTAGCGTTAACTTAGGTCATGTTGGATGAGGTTAGGATAGATTCGGTTAGGTTAGTGTTAGGTTAAGTTAGGTAAGGTTATGTTAGGTAGGGTTAGGTTAGGTTAGGTTAATTCCTGTTACTCCCTGTTCTCAGTTATCCAGTATTCCTTCAAAAATATATCATGAGAAATTAAACTAAATTTATGAAATATACACCAGTGATCTATTCAACATATTACTATAGAGAAATATATCCGTCGATGAATGAAGAAAATATTTGGTAAAATAATAATAATACAAATAATAGTAATAATTTAATAATAATACTAAGCTAGATCTTGAAAATTCAGATAAAATGCCATAAATACCTATACTTACCTATTTGTTTACACTGTCTACAAATAATAACATGTGGGGGCGTAAACTCTGGTCGTCGTCCCGCCTCGCTCGTAAACAAGGTCGCCTCTTACTTCAGGCTCACAGAGTAGCGTCACCTCTACATCATAACCCGGAGTCGATAATCCATAACAAGTCTTATACCACTGCGATTTACCTCGGTGATAAATTATATATAGAGAGAGCATTATTACTTGTGCTTAAGTGTTTGAAAATAAGAGAAATCGATTCGTATTAGTTGTTTTTATTTAGTCCGTTACTTTCTATCACTTATCGATGTTCATTTGTTTTGTTTTTCTCGTCTCTTATCGGAAATAATCAATCATTTTTTTCACTTATTGATGTTCTTTTTTGTTTTTCTCAAGTTGCGTACAAATTTCTAAAAACATATATTTTCTTCCTTCCTGAGTAGTGGAGCAATCAGTGATCTGTTTATTTGTGTATATTTGATATATTTCTGAGATAATTTCTTGTTACAGAGATAATTACTTAGTTCTTTATGTTGTAATTAATATATTTCGTTATATATTTCTGAGAGCATTGGTGTTTTCTTTTCCGAGTTGGAGATATATATGATCAGTATCTTGGATATTATTGTGAATGTTATTTCTATGTTTGATCAGTATTTTGCTTTCTCTGGGGATTGTGAAAGTTATTGTAACCTTTCTATATTTATTATTAAATTTTTTGAATCTCAGTGAAAGTATGAGAGTATTATATTAACTACAGGAACAGTTTGTTTATGTGTGAAACTTTCTCCGATCAGTGAAAGTGTCTATAACCATTACTTTCTCTCTTTTTAATACAGGAATAGTTTACCAATGCTTCATATCATATTTCCCATAAGAGTTGTTGTATTAGTTACTGAAGCAAGACGTGGAGAGGTGACATTGATCTTAGCTCTGACACTATGATCTCTGGGAGCCACGAGTACCTAACACAAAGATGACATAACCTGCCAGTGTAGTGAAGTATAGACCAGGAGTGGATAGTCTCTCTCTTGGTGAACACACGCACAAAATACACAGTAGTATTATCTGTAGAGAGAAGGAGACAAATAATGGCCAGGCAGTGTCTTCTTGCTGATGAGAGATAGAGAGAGATACCCGTCAGCAAATTTACTTTCAGAGTTTATTGAAGGACTGAAGAGAATCGATGAGACACCTTATTGAGGGGTCATAGAGACTCTTAGTGTAGTAGGTGTTGAGGTAAAGGAAACGGTAGAACAGTGTGTCTTACGGCAGGAGAGACAGAGTGATCGTCTTCCGTTTCTAAGGACAGGAGACACCTTAGATTATACAGTATCTCAACATCTTGATCGAGAGAAGAGATAGAGAGACATCGGCGAGTCTCTCCACGAATAGAACAAATATCTTGGGCCATCTTTCATCTCTCTAAGGACAGAAGACCTCAAGAGACCGTCTCAGAGGTCAGGAGAGAGAGACAGAGGTACTGTATCTCCCTCTCGAGCAGGACAGAGCTGAGGCCTCCCTCCCTCCCCCCGGATCCTCCACACCCAGACAAGTAGACAAACAATGCGTCTATCTTGCTTGGTGTTGACTGTCCTCCACAACCTACTGTCAACCGTGCCCTCCACCTACACCCAGGACGACCGCAGTAAGTACAAAAGTAGGTGTATTTGTTGTTAAGTTGTCCCTCAGCTTACACCTTCCCTGCAGGTTCTGTACGTCAAGGCTGGGTTTTGTACTGTGTACAGTACATGTGCTCCTGAGGGCCACTTCTCTCTTGTCTGTAAGTATGTTACACATTGGTCGCTTCTGCACTTTTTTGGGTCGCAGTGCACCATTTACTGTACAGTACTCGGGTCTGGTTCATTGTTTTAGGTCAAAAGTATAACCGACATCGGGCGTGCCCCCCCCCCCCACACGCACACACACACACACACACACACACTGGAATCGTGGACAAGATAAATCTCGATAAAACCTCACCGGAAAATATATACTCGTGTGTATATTTATATAATGTACTTTAAGCCCGAGGCTTGATTAAGATCATTTAATTAGTTTCCATTCCGAAGTTGGTCTTAACCTTCATACCTTCATGATGTAATTAACCTGAGAGCTTCACTGGACAGTTCTCGTGTGTGTGTGTGTGTGTGTGTGTGTGTGTGTAAACAAACAGCGGGTGTTGTGCGGGTATATATTGGATTATTCCTCCTTTTATTTTTGTAACATAATCCGTCTAAAGAGATTCCCCGGAATGCAATTTACACGTCAGGATTCCATGGGATTAAGGAATTGTTTTGGTATTTTCCTTGAAATGTCGGAATGTCCTCCCAGGACAAACTTTTGTACCGGGAAAGGAAATTTTTATGTATTTTGTATCATCATCATAGAAACGGATTCCTGGGCCACAGTTTTTACAGCACAGAGCCTCATGGGACTACAGGAATGTGTTTTGTATTGATTACGGATTTAATGTGAGTCTTACAGAACCCACTGTATTTTTTTTTACCATCTGACCTTTGTATTATGTTCCTGAACACTATCTTGGCCCTACTGGTGTGTCTTGTGTTGTGTTAAGGTGGAGAGTTGTGTGGGCTAAGGTTCTGTAACACACCTTTATTATTATTATTATTATTATTATTATTATTATTATTATTATCATTATTATTATTATTTAAGTATTCAATCATGCATTCCTTAATGTCAACGCACATTCCAGTTATGTATACAATCCCAGTATTTAACGTAAATTCAGCATATTTAACTTAGCTTTGATGTATTCAACGCTCATTTAACATATTCAGTGCCTAAACAACTCATTCGGTGCACATTTAACGCACATTCAACATACAGTCGTAAAATTCCTCTATGCTATATATTTTATTTAGGCCCGTGGAATTATCTTTATACACGCCGACAATTATTGTTTGGAGCATCATTGTGTTTGTTCCGATGTATTTGTTATTGTTATTTTGTGCATCGATTGTTTTCATCTGTTTGTTTGAGTTTGTGCGTTGTTTATTTTGTATCTGTTTTTGTGCGTCAGTTGTTTGTATTGATATATATTTGTTTTTTCATGTATTGTTTGTGTGGTCTGATTTGCTTTGTGCGTTAGTTTGTTTAGGGCAGAACAACAGCACGTCAAGAGCCAGGGGGAGTGAGTGAGTCACAGCCACCTGCCAACTAACCTCACACAGTTGCCAGGTTGTTTATTACTCACGACAAGGATGTTAACATTGACACAAATAATACATAAATTACAAAACAACAATATTATCTATAACCTACAACAATACATATTACAAACAAACATAACATAACATAACATAACATAACAACAACATAACAACAACATAACATAACATAACATAACATAACATAACATAACAACAACATAACAACAACATAACATAACATAACATAACATAACATAACATAACAACAACATAACATAACATAACATAACATAACAACAACAACATAATATAACATAACATAACATAACAACAACATAATATAACATAACATAACATTACAACAACAACATAATATAACATAACATAACATAACATAACATAACATAACATAACATAACATAACACATGTAACATGAAAAATAATAAACATAGTGAATAACTCTTTCCTTGAACGAGCTGACTACCTAGTTCCTATCACAAGGTGCATATTCTCTACATGAGTTCGGTCAACAGCCAGGCAGGGAATGGTGTGTTGGGCTGCTACTACTACTACTACTACTGCTACTACTACTACTACTACTGCTACTACTACTACTACTACTTTTTTTTTATATGGCCTCCAGCCTCCCCCAATAGCCACACCTTCGCCACCATTTTATTACCTTAATATTAAATATCCTAACACATAAGTAGCTATCCTCATAGTCAATATCTGCAGCCGTTGTCGGGATTGGGGCAGTCTGGCAAAGACGCTTCTTGCAGTTGGTCCTATCCCACCAGAGGTTGTAAACACCAGAGGAGTGAAGCTGCCTTGAGCCACATTCTGAATTCTCTGTGCTTACACCTTCTTCTTGTCGTTCTCGTTCCTCCTGTGTGCAGCCTCGAGAGATAGGTTACGGTGACATGCGGCTATGGGCTTCTTTAGATGTATAAGAAGTCCTGCGATGGATATTTTCGCCGTCCAATAGAAGGAAGGTCGATTCCACCATGACGTCGTGGCTGATTTCCTTCATTCCTTCGTCATGCCTCATACATATGAAGCCACTACTAATACTAATACTACAGTTTTGTTAGCAAGTTGAAGACGTATCTACAGTCGCCCACAAAAGTCATGTCGCTTCTCCTCCTTGACCATGAACCCTAAGATTCAGACTCGTGAATCTGAAGCATTTATGAACAGACTAATGCATCAGTGTCTACTGTTTCGGGGCTCGAGGTTCAGGAGGAGAGGCGACAAGACTTTTTTGGGTGATTGTACAGTATGTGTGATGAGTATTTCTCCAGCTTAGGTTAGGTTAGGTTAGGTATTTTTTCAAACTGTTACTCTGATATAAATTATACCGAATGAAGCATTTGTCGGTTATAATCCAGTCACCTATATCACTCATTCTAACGTTCACCAGTCACTTAAATCACTCATACTAACGTTCATCAGTCACCTATATCACTCATACTAACGTTCACCAGTCACTTATATCACTCATACTAACGTTCACCAGTCACCTATATCACTCATACTAACGTTCACCAGTCACTTAAATCACTCATACTAACGTTCATCAGTCACCTATATCACTCATACTAACGTTCACCAGTCACCTATATCACTCATACTAACGTTCACCAGTCACTTATATCACTCATACTAACGTTCACCAGTCACCTATATCACTCACACTAACGTTCATTAACTATAAGCCAATTTCCTATATGAAACACACCTCGACTCCACATTCTGCCAAGTGTCGAGGGAAATTTGACCACAGCTGTACAGTATTTCATTAACATTTGAACGCGGTGCTAAGGCTGTCTAACTGTGTGTGTTAATTTCAAAGTTCGAGTTCGCTCATCAGTAAAACGTGTGATGGTCTGATTGCAATGTGTTGAAATCAGAAATATATATTTTTTTAAACACTGATTGCATTCATTTCATGTTAGAATTCCTGTATTATCATTATGATTATCTCATTTTAATATCTTTTAAATATCATAATCCTAAGTGAGGGGGTTAGTATCGCTGGCACTAGACTCGACTGTTGCCACTCCCCAAATTGTATAGTTAGGCACCCATTAACATTTATGTGACCAGGGAGTGCTCCGAGTTCGAACCGGGGACACGAATGACAAGAGACGAGCGTTGTATCCACTCAGCCACTTGACCCCAATTAGCTTAGTGTATAAGTGAATTATCATAAGAAACGTTCAGATACACATAAACTTATAGGTTAGGTTGGGTTGGATTAGGTGTAATATCGTAAGAAAATATAAGAATTCATATTACTACCACAAGTTAATGTTTTGGTTTAATATCTCAAACAAAAAACTTAACTTAAGACAAATAAATATTACTACCTTGAGACACTGTTGTGGGTGTAATATATTATGAAATTCAATGGGAAAATATTATCACCGGAAGATACGTTTTTTTAATAGTGTAATATCTCAGGGAGGCGTAAAAGAAATGGTGGCACTCTATTGCTATAATATCTTGACAATACACCAAGAAATATAAGTTATACCTATTGAAGATAATGTTTTACTGTAATATCAATAAAATGCATTAAAATATAAGTACAGTATTACCACCTAAGGGCTTAGCTATAATATCTTGAAGAAAAAATACAATACCTATTGGGACATACTATAATGGGTATAATATCTCCCCAAAAATCAAATAATACCTATTGGATGGCACTATTTCTAGGTGTAATATCGTGAACACTAAACTAAGAAATATTAACCTGTTGAAGACACTGCTTTTCCCTTGCTGCCATCCTGATTAATATTCAACAGACAAATGGTATCCAGAGAAAAACTTGGTGACTCGTGAAAGAACAGTTTTTTTATACCACGGAAATCTAATTACAGCCGGGAAAATTGCATATCATGTTGAATATAAAGAACAGTTTGCAAGGACGTCAACATCGGCCTGAAAGATGGTGAGTTACAGCCTGCAAGGACGTCAACAACAGCCTGCAAAGAAGAACGACAGCCTGCAAGATGGTGAACGACAGCCTGTAAGATGGTGAACGACAGCCTGCAAGATGGTGAACGACAGCCTACAAGGTGGTGAACGACAGCCTGCAAGATGGTGAACGACAGCCTGTAAGATGGTGATCGACAGCCTGCAAGATGGTGAACGACAGCCTGCAAGATGGTGAACGACAGCCTGTAAGATGGTGATCGACAGCCTGTAAGATGGTGAACGACAGCCTGTAAGATGGTGAACGACAGCCTGTAAGATGGTGAACGACAGCTTGCAAGATGATGATCGACAGCCTGTTAGAAGGTGATCGACAACCTGCAAGATGGTGAACGACAGCCTACAAGGTGGTGAACGACAGCCTGCAAGATGGTGAACGACAGCCTACAAGGTGGTGAACGACAGCCTGCAAGATGGTGAACGACAGCCTACAAGATGGTGAACGACAGCCTGCAAGATGGTGATCGACAGCCTGTAAGA